TTCACTAAATATGAAAACTAGCAAAATATTCAATCACAGATCATAAACAAAAAGGTTTTTGCATAAGGGAGGAAAAAAACAAATCAAACTTAGGTTTTTCATGTCTAAAAACATATTTATATCATGTGAAAATGAAACCGGCTCGGCCCATCTCGATCTGGATAGAGTCATAAAAATATGGTTCTCGAACCCCATACCAAAGGCCAACTCTCGGTTTCAACCCACAGTATGTACTCTGCCAATTTGACTCCAAAAACTTTGTTCTCCTTCTTTCAGCCATACTGAGGGGTCGACCTAGGGTCTGACTATAGGTCTTTTTTTTTCTTCACTTCTAAGCACTCGATCACTCTTTCTTTCACTATATAACTTGTGCCACTTTAATACCTTATTGACTTCCTATCCTTTTGCATCCAATTAAGTTAAAAATCATTTCATTGCAAAACCTACAAAAAACACAAAAGAAATGCAAATGCCTTTAGGAATGCCTAAATGATTTGAAAATATGGGATAATAACACAATAAAATAGGGTTGAAATGAGGTAAAACATAAATATTTCAAGAAACAAAATAATATTTCAAAGCAGTTTGTCACCAATTCATTACAAGATATCTCTTATATGAGATGACAAAATGTATCTCCGTTCCGCCACGAACGGACGATCATTTCTTTATTCATAAGATTCAACAGAAATTTTCATAAAACATGGAGGATTAGCCACCGTGGTGGCTTCCACCATCATGGGAGTTGTTACTCGCTGTTGGCATTGGAGGATTCTCCGGTTGCAGCCGTCTTCTTGCTCACAAACCTATTGCAATAAAGAGGAAAGCCATCAACATAATAGCCTACTTTTTCTTTATACCCCAACACAAAATCTGGTATGTCAGCTCGCTTGAATGTCACTTTCCCAAAAAGCGATGGCTTTCCTCCTGCCGTAGGCTTGTGCACAAGCACATTCTCCACGAACCCTGGAAACCACCTGATCATCACCATCATATATATATACACATTAACAAAACCAAATGGATCATATACAAAACATGTACTTTATTACCAACAACCTATACTATGTAAGTAATATGACAAGGAAGTCAACCTCCTACAAATGGTTTATTACGAAACACGATGTACCGTGATTTGCATGTTAAAAAAAAAATCATTTTGTAAAACCTAAACCATAATTATCATCGATTTATAGACTACATATATATATACACTAACGTTCTATGTGACGATGAAACTTCAACTGCAAGTTAATGGGTTTGGTCTCTAGACAAACCAAAACAACTATTATCGATTTATAGATTTTTTTTTTGCTAAGAATCGATTTATAGATTTATTGAATTTAGATATTAAGGTTAGTCACTTGCCAGTCGAAGAAGTTAAATATCTGACTTTCCGTGAGAGGGAAGCCATTGGAGAATGTGAGGAAAACAGACCGTTTGTCGGGATGTGTCTCTGGCCTATACTGCGGAGCATCTGAATTCAGTGTAGACGGCGGCCTAGACACCGGATCAATTGCATTTGGTGTCATCGGCGGCCCAACCACTGGAGGAAATGCATTCGGTGTCATCGGTGGCCCATTGACCGGACGAAATGCATACGGTGTCATCGGCGAACCAACCACCGGAGGACATGCATACGGTGTCATCGGCGGCCCAACCACCGCAGGAAATGCATACGGTCTCACCGGCGGCGGACCCACCGGAGCAAATGCATACGGCACCATCGGCGGCCTAGCCAGCGGAGGAAATGCATACGGTATCATCGGCGGCCTAACCACCGGAACAAATGCATTCGGTATCATCGGAGGTCTAACCATCGGAACAAATGCATTCGGTGTCATCGTCGGTGCCGTGACCGTCACCATTTTTGATCCCTCCCCCTTTGAAGTGTTCATATAGCTTCTTCTCTTCTTTTACACAACAAGAGATAACACACAAATGAGTCTTAGGTTTTGCTATCTATATACATAACACGAGACAGTTGTACTTACCTATGCAGCGGTTGTGGTTTAAGGAAAGATATCTATATGTTAATGCATAATATCGAAAGCCTTTAATGATTAATAGATTTTGTAGACCGTGTTTACTAATGTTTTTTAAGGATACACAAATCATTTTTTGTTGTCTTTTTTTTTCCGTCATTTATTTTTAGTCGACTATATACAATGTTTTGAGTAATTTCCTAAAAATGTTCGCGAGGTTTTGTTGAATAATATGAATTCTTGTAATCTAGTCGTGGAATCATAAATTTATGTCCATATATATCATTTTAAACCCAAAAAAAAAGAGGAACGTATCGTTTTTTTCTATAATTAAATCTTTTTATTTTGTGGACCAGAAGAACCCTAATTTTACAATCTAAATCGTAAAGATGGAGATAAGAAGAGGAAAAATAAACTGAAAGTTGGTAAAAGAAAAAGAAAAAATAAAAATTTAAAAGTTCCCTTCTTAGATATGAAATCAATTTACTACATGTATTAGTAATTTATACAAACTCTCAACAGATTTTGTTGATAAAAATTCATTGAAATTTACAAGTGAAGTTCCAAAAATAAATGTCACAATACTTTTGATTTACTATTGCTCATTAAATTTGGTCTCTTTGATACGATTGATATACTCTGCTGTAGGTTGGAAAGTTTAAGTAACATACATAATCTCTCAAGGTCACGCTTGAGATTAGTAAATATATACACACATACACTTACTCTGCAACAAAAGCATTCACAAAAACCTTTAACAATGGTCAAATCTCAAAAAAAAAAGAGGCTCAGATGAAGAAGACTATCCCACAATACAAAGCTTTACACTTCACAGTTAGTTGCAGAGCAATGTGTCCCTCGTTGCATTTCCAGTGGTCGCGTTAACCCTAATGAGTCAAAGAAAATAGAGAACCAAACAAACAATTTAATCACATTTTGATGAATTTCAGACTTAGAATAAGATTAGAATCTTAAGTGTAGAGAGCAGAAGAATTTTCACCCATCCGCGACTTTGCAAAGGTATTGTCATTGATCATCTCTTAGAGGAACATCAGTGAAGTCTAAATCCAGTATAAGAAAAATCCACACAAAAACTATCAAACTTTATGTGAAGAGAGATGCTTATAGTTATATAGTGAAAGTTTTTTTTTTTACCTGCGCCTGTAATGTTTGACCCCTTGAATGATGTGTTTCCAGTAGCAGTCGCTCCTTCCAAGTTAGCGTTCGTTAAATTCACCTGCAAAAATGTAACATTTTTGACAATCTACCATTAATGTCAAATATCTTTTTCATTTTCCCTAGATTTACACATACATTGATGCATATATAAAACATCGAAATATGACCTTTGTTACGTTTGCCAAGGAGAAATCCGCACCTGGAAGATCAGCTTCCGATAAATCAGATCTTGATTTACGATATACGATTTACATCAATGAACCAGAAGTCTTCTCTATTACAATTCTTCTTATACTTCAACAAAGAAAAGAGAACAAACCAGTCAAATCTGCATCAAAGAAGCTAGCACCTAACAACTTTGCACCCTTGAAGTTGGCTTGCCTTAAGATGGACTGCACGAAAATGTCATCGAATATAGAATGATTAAGCGAAAGATACGGTGTTCATGATCCTCTAGCGTGTGGACACTTCATTATCCTCGTACAGCAATTCCAGGATGTTATCGATACTTTCTCGGGATTTCTCTCAAGAATACTGAATGTGTACCGATTGTTCTTTTGTTTCCATGTTTTTAATCTTTTTGTCATGGGATCAAATCATAGGTGTAACAATTTGTTTATTGAACAATTTGTAACCCCAAACTTTCATTTCATAAATGATATTTATAATTTAGCAAAAAAAAGATACGGTGTTCATGATGATCTAATAACAGTTGATGACTGAATAATAAAACAGAATATATAACTTCTTGAAGTCTTGTCTGATCAGAGTCTGGCCACTGAAATCGTTGCCGGATAAGTCCTGTGACTCCTGTCCTCTGGTGACTCCTTGTCCATAAGGACTTCCTCCCTTTCAGATTCATCCACATCAAGAAAACACAGTGAGCTATACAAGTAACATCTTCGTCACAATGAGATGCAAATTACGAATAAACCATCATCGGAATCAACACACAAAGGTCTAAATAACATATTCATGAGTCATATTGTTTTCCGCCTTTACGATTATTGCTACAATCACCTCAAATTCATTAGATTGCTACAAGGGAAGATTGTTTCCAACATTTTAATTCTAGTTACATCCAATAAAGTTGTAAACTTTACACTAAAAAAATTCCAAAAATAACATAACTTTACCTAGGAATCTGATCATCACTTCCCTAAAGTTCTCAACTTTTTAATTGTGTACCACCACCATATATATATATAAGTCCTTTTGAACTTTCTTTACAGATTACAGAAAACAATTAAAAGGAATTACCTTAAAAGCAAGAGCAGGATCAACGAAGAAGAGAGTAAGAGCATCTCCAATGCATACACTAAAACTTCATTTTTGGAGTTTTTTTCA